AAAGAAAGAAAGAAAGAAAGAAAGAAAGAAAGAAAGAAAGAAAGAAAGAAAGAAAGAAGGAAGGAGGAAACTGAGGCAGGAGGATCAAATCTTCAAGGTCTGGGCTGAGTGTTGGCTATGCTTAGCTAGCATACAGAAAGCCCTGACTTTGATTTCCTGAATGGAATAGAGCCAGGCCTGGAGGTTCATGCTTTTAACTCTAGTACCCAGGAGATGGAGGCAGAAATTCAGGGTTATCCTTGCATAGCAAGTTTGAGGCTATCCTGGGCTACATAAGACATTATCAAAAGACAGGAAGGGAGGAAGGAAGGAAGGAAAGAAGGAAAGAAGGAAGCAGGAAGGAATTGGGAAAGGAAAGAGGGAAAGGGAAGGAGAAAGGAAAGGGAAGGGGGAGGGGAAAGACAAAGATGGGCGAAAGCTTATTCAAGTCCAGCCTGGATTAGAGTGAGTTCAAGGCCAGCATGGGGGACTTAGGGAGACCCTGTCTCAAAGTAAGAAGTAAACGGCATTGGCGATGCAGAACATTTGAGTACTATTTGGAAACCTTTGTTCAAGCCCCGGCCTACACCTTTTCTGGGCTGCCTCCCAGCATCACCCCTCCCTTGGCTACCAAGACCTCAAAGATCTCTGGAGTTCTTCCATCTTCCCTAGAATCCATAAACCCTAGCATGGAGCGCAGCCTCTGGCCCTGGCCGCGGCATGCAAGGCCTCCTTCTCCCTGGCTTGCCCGGGGTATGTAGGGAGGGCGGCTCCCCCGAAGTCTCTTGCAAATGCCTACCCAAGTACTACAAAAGGCGTTGGCTGTAGTTGAGTGTTGGCAGCCGCTGTAAACGGGACCGGGACCGGGACCCTGGGCCAGAGACTCGTGGAGAGGGAATACAGAGGAGGGAGCTTGACAGCCGCGAATCGCCCGGCTCTCCACTCCTCAAGGTGCATCGCTAGCTCACGGGTCCCAGGGCGGGGAGAGGGGAGGCGGGGTGGGGCGGAGCCACCGGGAAGGGGCGGGCATGGGTACACCGTGCGGGACTGGCCGGGAGGGGCCGCGCTCGCTCGCCTGGCCGAGGAGCGTGGAGTCGCCGCGCCCTCCGGGTCCTCGCGGGCTCCGCCACCCGCTGACCGTGCGCACCTGCCGCGCCGCCCTCGCGGATCCAGATGGGGAAGGACCAGGGCTTCTCTCGGCACTTTAGGTAGCTTCCCTACCACGTCCTGCGCCTCGCGGAACCTTGCCCCGCATCCGGCCAGCCTGAGGTGGGGGAGGGGGCCGGGACATCCAGAGAGGTCCCCGGTCCTGGGTGGGCAATCTCTCTAGACTGGGCGGAGCCCCGAAAGGGAGGACAGTGGCAACCAGCTGGTGGGTCTGCGGGCGGTGAGGATTCGATGTTGGGTACTCAAGACCCGCGCGCGGCCCGAGGGGTTGGGAGGATGAAAGGCTAGGATGGAAAATCAACCTTCCTGCATTGGTTCGCGGGAGAGGGCAGAGGACCGGGGTGCCGCGCTCTGGGTGAGAGCCTAGAGCACCGCAGCGAGTTCTCAGTTTGGAAGGCAGGACCTCTGCTCCGTCGGGAACTGCAGGTTGCCGCCTCTGAGGCTCGCACCCGTCTCCGCCGGTTCGCTGGCTGGAGATCAAGGGCTCGGTGAAGCAAACTGGGTTGGGATAGGACACACGCGGGCAGGAGAGGATCCTAGGGGAGATTCCGGCAGCAGAACTGACCCAGTGGAAGGGTACAGACGTGTGTCTCTCAGGAAGAATCCTGGGAACTCAGGAAGGCCTGCGGGCATCGTAAAGAGCCTCGGAGACCTAAGGCAGGTCTGTCGCAGTCCAAAAGGCAGCGATCTGTCCCTATAATGAATTCGGCTGTGCCGGCTTTAATTAACCCTCAGCGGTGCCAGGACGCGGCTGGCTGGGCCAGACAGTGATGGAGCCGCGGGGAAGGCTCATGGCAGCCAGGAAGGGTGTCTGGCTCAGCAGGCAGCCTTGGCCTCTGGCCCAAGCTCCAGGATGCCAGGGGAACTGGCCACCACGATCCACCTCCTCGGTTTGTGACTCAGCCTGGTGCCCACCCGGCGAGCACGTCCAACTGGGCTGGGCGTCTGACCCCTGCCCACGTTAGAATGTGGGCCTCATGCCCGGCAGAGCTTGGGGCTATGCAAGGTGAGGGCAGGAGGTGGGCAGTCCCAGCATCCTTTGCCTGGACACAAGGCAGGGCGATAAGGAGAGGGCCAGGGCTGTGCCAGCAGATGGAAGGGTCAGGCTCAGGAGATCTCCTGGTTACCTGGAGGGGGCGGGGCTGGCATGGCCCTCCTGAAGGATCTACACCCCATCTGGGCCACCAGGAGCTCATCCTGCCCGGCCAGCCTTATTAATTTCACCCGCTGAGGCTGAGAGCAAGTGCAGGAGAGGGAGTATTTCAGCTGCATGCCAAGCCATCGATCCCCTCCTCTTTTCTCGCCTGACTCCCCACGATGCCCTTGGCGTTGGCTTCCGTCACAAGGAAGAGGGAAGACAACCTTGGGGTACAGCCAGGAAGCTCTTGCTAGTGCCATGAGCCCCGATTCCAGCTGTGTCAGAGGCCAGCTGCGTAACCCTGCAAAGTTACAGATCTCTCTGTGCTTTAGAATCTCCTGCAGTCCACCGGGGTGTTAGCTGGCTGTTACTTGGAAATGAAATTGGATAGCGCACGCGCGCGCACGCGCGCGCACACACACACACACACACACACACACACACACTCACACACTTTTTTCTCCAGTGCCAAGTCCTTTCCCATCACTGCAGCCCACAGCCCAGCTACAAATCCCTGCGGCAGAGAGGTCCTAGACTCCCAGGCTCCGGGGACTCGTCCCAGGGTAGGGACGCTTCGGGGAAGCCGTCTCCTCCCACTACCTTGGAGAGCACCACAGGACCTTCATAGTTGAGTCTCAGCATTTGGCAGGGACAAATGGGCAGAGGCTTACTGAACACATACAAGGGCCTGGGAACACACACACACACAGACATGCACATGTACACGCACGCACACTTAAAAATAATAAAAATCATTCTTTAAAAAAAAAAAAAGGGCAAAAATAAGAACGCACCAGGCAGAGCCGAAAGCTTGGAGGTGGTCATTGCCCTCACTTTTGCAAGTGGGCAGGGCTGCAGTGAAGCAAGCGGGAGAACCGAAAGAATGAACTAAGAGGAAGGCAGACCCCTGCGGATGGCTGATGCAGTTTTCTCTGGCAGTCCTGGAAGTAGGAAGGGGAGAGAAGAGCATTAGCTGGGCTTGGCCTGGTAGGTGCAAGGGCGTGAGAGGATGGAGGGAAAGAACAGACAGAGATGGAAGACAGCAGCCAGAAGTCCTCTATGACTCATTTGGGAGCAAGAAGGCTCCTCAAAGGTTGGGGTCATGGGGACAGACCATGTGGCTTTTTCAAGGTGGGGTAAGCAGGACGCCTCTCTCCTGGTGTAGTCTAGGATAGTCAATTCTCTCCTTCCGCCATGTGGGTCCCCGGGGATTCGAACTCTCGTGTCTCCAGTCTCCGCAGCAAGCGCTTCTACCTGCCCAGCCATCACGCGACCAGGTCTAGGACAGTTGGGGACACAGGTCTGTTCACCGAAAGGGAAGGTGAAATTTTCCTGGTAACCCCTGGGAAGGGGCCAGAAGAGTCACCAGGACGTGTCTTTAGAATGCAGTCAGGGGTCGCGCCTGACCCGACGGTTCTTGCCTTACAGGATCTTCATCCCCAAGAAGCACCGGGCGCGGTTCGACGAGGTGGTGTCGCAGGGTCTGCTGGGCAAGCTGTGCCGCGCGCGGAGGGCGCAGGGCGCGCAGCGTTTGCGCCGCAGCCGCAGCGAGGAGCGCCCGGAGCGCCTCCTAGTGTCCACGCGCGCCAGCGCCGCGCCGCGCCGCCCGGATGAGCCACCCCCGCGGAAGGCGGCCTCGCTGCTGGGCGGCCGCACCGGCCCGGGGGGCCCTCGCAGGTACGCGGGGCGGGGCGGGGCGCGCGGGTGACAGCAGAGGGCGTCGCCTGCTCCTGGGCAAGCCGGGTCGGAGACGTGGACTGTGGCTGTGCGGGAGGGCCAGGACAGGAGACATGTCCATTCCCTGAGCCCTGGTCTCCTGTCCTCGGGGTGAGTCAGGGAGAGCCACTCACCTCCAGCCCCATTCCATTTTTTTACTCCAGGACTGTTCGTGTCTACAAAGGCAACAAGAGTTTCGGCTTCACTCTGCGAGGCCATGGACCGGTCTGGATTGAATCTGTCCTGCCTGGTGAGGGATGGACTGGTTAACCGGAGTCCCTAAGATTAGGGAAGAGGAGACAAAGCCTGTTGTAGCTCTCTCTCTGGAGATGCTATCTAGGCCTGCTAGTCAGGTTGTGTCCGCTGTTAAGAAGCAGAGAGCAAGGGCTGGGGAGATTGCCCAGTGGTTAGAGCGGTTGTTGGGTAGACAGACATAAGGACTGCCGTTTGGATCCCCAAAACACATAAGAAATGCTCGGTGGGTATGATAACCTGCCTTGGCTGTGTCATTCCGGCCTTGGAAGGAGGAGATGCGACTCCCAGAGCGCGTGCATGCGCACCCGTGCACGCACATGCATGCACCCACCCACATGAAAACATGCGTGCGCACATGCTTACGCATGTCACGTGCACACATGAAAATGAAAGAAGAAGAAAAAGCAGAGTGGTGAGTGCCAGTACTTGGCTCGCCTTCACTATTTCAGACAGTCCGGCCTCCCTGCCCAGGGAACGTGTCTGCCCATGGTCAAAATGAGTCTCCGGGGATCAGTTAACATGATGAAGACATTGCCTTCCATCCTCAGAGGTTAAACTTAGGATAGGTGATAACTGTCACAGTGTCAATGGGTTCTTGGGCCTAGGGGCCGCTGCCCCTTCTGGCTGGCTGGTTCGTGGCCTGCTGCTGATGAGGACAGGTGGACAGTGGCTCAGACTCTGTGACTCCCTAGAGGAGGTGCTCAGGCTGTGGGCTATGGATTGGTTGGTTTGCGTGTGAAGGCATGCTTACAGCTGAGTCCTTCTCCATGCCTCTTCTTTTTCAATTACGCTTATTTATTTTAAGGAGGAGGAGGGATGGGAGTATCCAGATGCCATCTGGTGTGTGTGTGTGTGTGTGTGTGTGTGTGTGTGTGTGTGTGTTAGAGGACAGCTTACAGGAGTCACGTGTCTCTGCCATGTGGGTCTCCGGGATCAAACCCAGGCCGTCAGACTTGGCAGCAAGCTTCCTGACGCGCTAAACCATTTCAACAGCCCAGAGTCTCGTTTCTCAGCCGTGAAACTGAAGAATGGCTACCTGGCTCACAGGGTGGGGCTGAGGGGGAGAACCCGCCCCGATCCACTGTGGGGTGGTCAGCTGACTGCAGACCTTCTTCTCTCCTCCAGGCAGCCCAGCTGAAAACGCCTCCCTCAAGTCAGGTGACCGGATTCTCTTCCTCAATGGACTGGACATGAGGTCAGCAGCCCCTGAGTGATGGTCCTGGTGATGAGCCATCCTCCAAGACTTTCGCCTCCCGGGCACTAACAGTGGCCGGGATCCCCCTCTGACCTAGGCCCTAAGATCTGTGCCTCCTGTGTCTATCCCTCTTGCACTGAGGGCTATTTCTCCCCGTCGTACTGGGAACTCAACACAAGGTTAGGCAAACACTGTCTCAGAGCTGCATTCTCGGCCATTTATTTAAGATTTTGTTTTTTTTTTTCAAAACAGTTCCTCTCTCTGTGTCCCAGGCTGTCTTGGAACTTACTGTGTAGCCCAGACAAGCCGCCTGCCTCCACTGTGCTGGCCTGCAGGCATAAGCTTCAGGCCTGGCTCCCAACCCTTTGAAAATTTCTTTTTGTTTTGAAACAAGTCTTGCTTAATTGCTCAAGCAACGTGGACTTGCTGTATAGTCCAGACTGGCTTTAAATTCTGCGGATCCTCCTGCCTCCACTCTCCAAGGGCTGGGAGTACAGTTGTATGCTCCCCCAACAGTGGGGACTCCACTCGAATCCATCTTCCTGCTTTGCCAGGACCGCTAGTCCATTTTTTTTTTTTTCTAAGCAGAAAATATTACAACTACGTTTTGGGGGACACGGACTGGAAATGACTGATTATTTCTCGCTCTGGAAGGGATCCCTGCCCAGGGTGACATGGGAATAGCGCCTTCTGTGCCCAGGAATGCTAACCCCAAAGCCTGGGGCTTTTGCCATCTGAGACCTTATCTTATGTGTGAGGGTTCTAGCTGGCCCTGAATGAACAGTGTGTTTGCTAGGTGGGCTCCCCAGGAAGGACAGAGCTCACTTTTCAGGCCCTTCGGGGCCATCTCCTTTGCAGGAACTGCTCCCACGACAAGGTGGTGTCCATGTTGCAGGGAAGCGGCGCAATGCCCACGCTGGTGGTAGAGGAAGGACCGGTCCCTTTCGCCAGCGGTGAGACTGTCAAGGCCGAGGCCCCACAACTGTTTTGGGCGCTTCCCAGGGGCGCCGCCAGGGGCTGCTATAGAGCGCAGCGCGCGGCGTTCGGTGCTGTTCCCTGGCTTGCACGCCCGCGCCAGAAGGCTGCTGACCCCGGCTGTCTGGGAGGCTGCACCTACCCTGGCCACTCACCCGTGCCTCCCCGCGCCCGTTGTTCCCCGCAGATTCAGATTCCTTGGATTCCCCGACCCGCTCGTCGGCTCTCACCTCGCTGCAATGGGTGGCGGACATCCTGCCTTCCAGTATCCGAGTCCAGGGGAGGACCTTCAGCCAGCAGCTGGACCACCTCCTCACTCCTCAGGAGCGCTACGGGGTCTGCCGCGCTCTCGAGCGCTTCTTCCAGCACAGGTACCCAGGGAACGGCGCTAGGACCTAACCTGTGCGCGCTCTACCCAGCTTCCACCGTAAGGCTGGCGACCCACCCTGCAAGGGCCTCTTCAGGTGGAGAGAGGTCAGATGGAGAGGGGCTCCCGAAGGCAGTCACTAGTGTCAAGGGAGGAGCGACTGAGGTGCCCTAGGTTTAAAGGTCCTTGTTACCATATAATCCACATGCTGTGTAAGTCAGTCATTTATTTATTTTTAATTAAAAAAAAAAACCAACTATGCGTAGGGGCATTCTGCCTGCATGTCAGTAAACCACATGTGTGCAGTACCCATGGAGGCCAGAAGAGGGCGGCAGAGCTCCCGGAACTGGAGTTACAGGTGCTCGTGAGCTGCCAGGAAGGTGCTGGGAACCGAGAGGAGCAAAAACGATCTCTGAGCCATCTATCTCTCTGGCCGCAACCCATTCATTGAATTGTACCGTTCAGTGGTTTGGGGGCCTGGGTACACCTGCAAATACATGCCACCAGGTAAAGGGAGATGCTCTGTCATCTCTGTCCCTGCTCTTTCTTTAAAACACACTCACTTACTTGTTGCATTCGGGAGACACGCATGGCACAGTGAACACCAGAGCAAACTCCTTTATCTGCTGAGCCATCACACCAGATTGTAAACAGGTCACACACAGCTCCATTCTGTACTTGCTGTATTTATTCATTTG